TTGAGAGTCTGTTCATAGCATAGAGCATATGAAGATTCCACACCAAAGAGAAGCCCAGCGTAACGAATGAAAAGCTTAAATCAGACAGTAAAACACAAATGATGAAGACGAAGTACCTGTTTGTTGTAGACGTTGAAGTAAATGTTCAAAACATACCAAACTCCGAACATGGCCCCAAGCTGTAGCGTCCGAATCAAAGTATTGGGTTTGCTGGGCTCATGACTGTTAGCTTCAGGAACCAAAGCAGCTGTGACCTTAAAGGTTACATTTTTTCGACTTGGAACGAGAAATGAAGCTGATTTTTGAGCTCCAACACACAAATAAGAAGGTGGGCAAGAGGCTTTCCCACATGGAAGTCCAGAGAAAGAATGGGAATTTGTGGTGGCTAAAGAAGACAATGCGTGCGAGAGTTGAGGAAGCTTAGTTATGGCGTTTCGAGACGAAGGTGATATTATTGTTGGAGTCATAGAAGACAGTGACACCGAAATATTCAGCATTTTTTGGGTTCAGCAGTGTCAATGAAAAGAGGGAAGAACAGAGGAAGAAAACATAAATCACTGCATGAGGAGTGAAGACAAGAAGCTGCGAGAAGAAAAGGGGTAAAAACGACTTCGTTGAACCACCGACCAGCTCCGCTCAAGATGGAGAATGAACCAAGCAGAGGAACATCAGAGAAAATGAAATACTCCACAAAGCTGCCGGACGTTTATTAGAAGCCGAAGATTGTCAATTCAGGAGATGAAAAGGGCAAATGAGCTAAAGAGCCATTTTTCACTTTTCAGCAGCGAATTAGCGAGCTCCTAGCCCCACGGTTAAGCATGGCCGTATTCTGCAGTTGAAATCTTGAATACGCATGGAATATATAATATTAAAACTCGGTTCATGATTCATGAACCAGAATAAAAGGGTGTTTCACATTTTTAAAACTGCGATTTCAGAAAATTTTTTTTCACAAACCCAGATAATCTTCTCTACATATTTATTTTGTAATCTGTAAAAACATTTTTGAAACTTAATTTGGTTTCTATCAATACCACCCTCCACCTTGCAGGCAGGAGCCAGACGGTTCTTTTCGCATAAATGTTCAACGACGAGACATACGAACTATTAAAAAAATAATATTGGTGTTATGCGTGGGGAGTAGCGATATCAATTATCTTCAAGTTCAATTTTAGCATAGAAGTCAAATTGCTATTATAATATATTACGTAAATTTATACTCTTCCGGTTCTTAATGTAAGATTTATTTAATTAATTTAATTAGATTAAAAATTACATATATTAGTTAATTATAATAATATAAGATATTTTTATTAAATTATCATAATTATCTTTTTTAATATCTCTATTCTTTTTTCTACTTGATTATGAATAAGCGAGTATTAATAGGTGTAATTTAGAAAAAAATCAACTTCACAATTAGTTCTTGAATTAAGGATAAGAGAAGTATTTTATATTTATATCATCTTGACATTGAAATGAAGATTAATTTTTTTAATTCAACATAAACAATAATATATAGAACATCTCATAAGTGGACCAGGTTTTATTCTTTTAAGGGCTTGTTTGGAATTACCATTGGGTTCTTCAAAAACAGTTTTTTAATTATAATTTACAGAATACAAAACAAATATATGGAAAGAATTATGAATAATGTCATATAAAACTTATGAATAAAATAAGTTATTAAATTTTTTATCCTCCCTCCCAGACACTATATTTTTGAAAACTATTCTCATTTAATAATTTTTGAGTGACGTGAGAGTAGAAGAAAGAGACTGGGAATTGAAGCAATCCCAAAGATGAGGCCGACAAGAGAGGAAGGCGTGGGGTGGGTCATTCGTACAAGAAATGGGGTACTTGGGAGGGACATGACAAAACCGATGGGTTTAGGATTTGAGGCTCTCGTTCTGCGCTTTCCCCGTCAGTGATTGGACCACCCCCCTCGCTCGGATCACACCATCTCGTCATTTCTCGTCATTTCCGCCGTGTGCTTCAATTAACTCCAATGCATGGATGGAGTTTTCTTATCATTTATTCCCTTCCAATAGTGTGTGTTTTTATTTAAAATAAAAAAGTAGTACTCCTGTGTGTTTCAAAAAATATCTATACGAACATTAAAAACATTACTATTTGAAATATTTTTAATTTAACCAGACTTCAATTAAACAAGCTTATTTTCAGCCGTTGTCACTCTTCTTTGGTTATATGGCACAACATATAATTGAAGACAGGTTATGCCTGGTTTAAAAAAAAAATTACACTGGCTGGATATGAGTTGAATTTATTGAGTTTATTGCCAAATTTTGAAAGCTGTTTTCACTTTGTTAATTAGGGTATAATTAAAAAAAAATGATAACAAATACTACACTCGATTCTTAATATAAAAACTAGTTGATTAGTTTAAATAAATTAAAAAAAGTAGTTAAGTTAGTTATTTGTAATAAGTATCTGTTGTTTTTTTTAAAATATCCTTACTGATTACGTGTATTAGTTAAAACTATCATGTAATGAATCATTTAACATGTATAATTATTATAAGAACCATCTTATAAAAATAAATAAATATGAGAGATAAAATTAACAACAAATTAAAAGGCAAATACACACACGTTGCTTTCCCCGATTTATAATTGCATGTCTTTCTGGTATTTCCTGGCTATTGCTAGGGATATGAGATTATAAATTGTTTGAACCGGACAACTTAAAAATCCACTTTGACCAAAAAAAAGTGAAGTCACGCTGTGCTCGACGCAGACACGCGGGGAGTAAAGATCATGTGAATACGTAGTATCTCGAGGGGCCACAGTCCCTGCGCGTGATCTACCCATCTAAACACCTGCTTATTCCATGATTAACGAAATTAGTTGAGATTAATTATTTTTTAAAAAATATCAACACTATCCCCAACAAAAATTACTAATGAGAAGAGTTTTATTAAATATAAATTTTTATAATTAGTCAGGATACCATGTGAGGAAAATTAATCCCCCGACAAATCATATTATCTTTTGAAACGCACTATAATCTTTATGATAAGAACCTGCGGAGTAGAGTATTATTAGACTGAAAAAAAAGAAACATAACTACTAAAAATCTCAACAATAAGATAGCACCTTCTAATAACAAGTTACGGTGTAAAAAAGACGCCTACTCATTTATTATCAAAACTTTTTTATAATTTTTTTTTAGACCTTACAATAATTCTGTTTGTCATTATTTAGGGAGTGTTTGGCAATATGAAAATCATGGTTTCAGAAGCACTTTTCTGCAAAACGAGACAAACTCCTTTACATATTTACTTCGTAAACCGTAAAAGCACTTCTGAAACCATAGTTTGGTTTCTATCCAAACACCCCCTTAGTCATACCAGTTTTCTCAAATGAGATATGAAAGAGTACGTTAGTACAAATGATGATTTCATAATCATGAGTTTTTAAGTCTTACCAGCCTACCAATACCCCAGAGGCTGGCCCAGGACCCTCTGAAAACATCCATGCTGTCGCATTTCATGATCATTAGACTTGTTAGTCAATGGTTCGGCCAGCCAGATGGTGTTAATGGGCCAAGCCATGCCAGAAAAATAGCCCATGACCTGTATCCGGCCCAATTATATGCTTTTTCCCCTGTTCATAAACACAATATATACAACCTGTTTACTGAAGCGTTTAGGGGATGAAAAGTTAGCTTCGGGGCATGATAAGCTGGCTTATAAATTGGAAAGCTGTTTGTTATAATTTTTAACCAATCTGATCTGTACATCAAAAATTACTTTTTTAAGTACGATTGTAAAAGTATTTAAAATTTACTTATAATTTATGCAAAAGCAATTTTTTGGGACTAAAAGACATTTTACTTTTATGTTTATATTGTTTTTATGCTTCTTTCTATGTTTAGTTGTTTGTTTTTAATTTCCTGTTAAGTGAAAATAACTTTTAACATTTTTATAGTATTTTTAGTTTTTAATATTATTTTCATTTTATATTTACACAAATTATGTTGAGTATATTATCCAATTAATTATGTAATATTATTTGGTTCAAAAAGTTTCACATTACTGTGATTTCTAATTTAAATATATTTTATTCATTAAATATAATTTTTTTCTTATTATAATAATTTAAAATTATTATATATTGTAAATTTATATTTTAAATCATTGTTCATTATTTAATAAAAGTCATACTTATTTTAGTCATTCTAGAAACTAAACTTATTTATTCAATCGTAATTCAAACAATTTTTTAATTTTACAAACTAATCTTTATAAAAGTCAACCCAAATAGAATTCATATTTTCCAATCTCACTTTCCTAAAAGTTATATTAAAAATAAGTTATTTTTTCCGCTAATAATCCAAATTGTCTTTAGTTCTTTGCATTAGAATTAGCAAGAGCTTAGGTCTCTCTCGGATTCAAATTTTTGTTGAGAAAAATATTTACATTTACTATCTCAAATAGAATTGTCTGAAATAAGAAGATTTTTATGTTTGCCAATAAAGAATTAGCAATATTTTTAAACAAATTTATTTTTTTTCGAATTGAGAAGTTGTTATAAATAATGATAATTTCTAAGAAAGAAAATTATTTTTTGTCGCAACAGAGCGAAATATCATTATCGACTGAATACAGGATAACAACAAAGTAAAAAAAAAAAAAAAAAAAAAGATTTTATTTGACAAAAAAAAAAGGCGGTAAACCGCAAAACCTGCAACGTGGCAGATTTTAACGAGCTCAGAGGCACTGATGAGGCCTTAAAATTGATGGCGTGGATCAGTGAAACACGAGGACGACACCGCAACAGAGCCTCGGCAACAAGCAAAGGTGGAAATGCGGCATGAGTTTAACATGAATTCAATAGTCAAAATCCTTAATTCCACTATTTACAGATAAATCCTTCAATATTTATTTTCTCAAAAATTCCCCGAAATTGTCGCAATTCATCTTTCCCGTTCCTTAGCCGGACGGTGAGGTTGCAGGGAAGACAAAGCCAGGAGTCGCTGCTTCTCATTCATTTATCTATCTGCAACAGTTCAAAAGCTTGATTCCTATTTTTTTCCCTTCTCCGGTAGGCGATTACCCTCTCATTGGCGCCAACCTGTTTCGTGACGTTTGGTTGTTCCCCACCGCTTCCACAGTTCACATATTTCTATCAGGTTTTCACCCGCATTTAATTTCGTCAGGGCTCATTGAAATGTTTGATTGTTTCTGCTTCCAACGATTATCTTTTGGCGTGTCATTGAAATCAAGGTTGCTTGTTGCATGAGTTTGATGATGCTGGTGGAAAATCAACTATTGTTTGCCCCGTGGGTGTATCTTCATTTCACTTGATGATATTGTAGAGTTTTACGGAATGTTTGGAAGAAGAGATACCGTTAATAAAATTCACATCCTTTCTGGATGTAAATGTAGCCGGCTCTACTCCATTGGTTTCATTTGGGATGCATAATCATTAAATGAGCATACTTTAATTTGGGACTTTCATTTGGAGTTGCATAATGGAGAAAGTTTATCAATTAATTACTAGACAAAATTACTGAACGGGTGTCTGCATGCAGAGTCCTCTCTGCAAATGTATTGTCATGTTACAATTTACTGCGCTCATTTCGGGAAGCGTAACACACTCGTTAGAATTTCTTCATGCACTAATTAGGATCTGCATACTTAATTACTCACTATCAGCGTGTAAGAGAACCATATTATTGGTTGCCATTTTTTTATATTTGTCATGAAATATACTTTGGGTGCCGAGGGTCTGTTAATTCTTAGCTTCAGTGCTAAGTCTAAAATTATTTTAATATGAGGCCGCGGTCCTGTTGCAGGATGCAGCTGCGGAATACCGCACATGTGACCAACATTAGTTATTGGTTAAACTGGAGGGTCTTACTGTGTTCAGCTTCAGTTTTGCTTCCTATGATTATTGCATTGTTGATCATATGGAAGCGTGAAGGTTCAAGGCATTTGGCCCCTGCAAAAGGAGATAACCAGCAGGACAGGAACCGGATTTTATGCGGTGATGAAGCATGGAAACCATGCCTAAAAGGAATTCATCCTGTCTGTTTGCTAGTTTATCGGGTTGCTGCATTCGTTTTGCTTTTAGTGACATTAGTGGCTAAAATTCTCTCTAATGGTGGTACCATTTATTTATACTACACTCAGTAAGTCGTTCTGGGATATTGATTAAGCATTATGATTAAAGTCAAAATTCACTTATGATGCTTTTAACATTATTCTTGCTTTGGAAAATATGCTTTCCATTTCTATCCGAAATTAATGCTAACTTTTGCTTATAGTTGTCATGGGTTTCTTGCAGGTGGACCTTTACTCTAGTTACCATTTATTTTGGGGTACATCTCTAGCTTTCTTCTTATAAGTATTCAGTTCAATCAGAGACAAAGTTGACCTTTGATGAATACGTATTGCATACATTGTATATATAGCTCATGATGCTAGGGCAAAAGCTTTCACAGAAAGCATAATTTCTTCAGTCTCAACATACTTGAATCTTACAGTTTGTACTTTTTTGTAGTGTGCATCTATGCTCTCTGTGTATGGGTGTCATCAGTTTCAAAAATCAAGAAGCAGCACCTTTAATTTTAGTTTTGCTGGAACAGATGCAGAGCAAGGGTCAAGCGCACCTCTCTTGCATCAGAATTCTACAAATCTATCACATGAAAATCGATTCATAGGCATTTTGAGTTATATTATGGAAGTTCTATTCCAGGTAGCTTGATTGCTTTGCTTTCCCTCATATTTGCTTGTTATTTCATATTGTCTATGTCTGTACTTCCTATACCTTTTAAGTGCGGCCTCATCTTTTATCCTTTCTTCCATCTCTTTCATTTTATCTCATCGTCGTCATCATCATCTTCTTCTTCATCTGCGAGTTAGAAGCATGCTTTTGCCTAGCTTGTTCAATTTATATGCTTAATTTTCTAAAATTATGCGCTCACCTTCCAAGTGCATGGATATTTCATTTAGTTTTCATTTATTTTTCTGCCTTTAACTATATATCTAAACAGACAAATGCAGGTGCAGTGATGCTTACAGATAGCGTATATTGGTGTGTTATATTCCCATTTCTTACCATCAGGGATTACGATTTAAGTTTTGTGAGTACTAAACCTTAAAGAGTGCTTTTACTCTTATACTTTCGTTGCTTTTGGTTTGCAATAGTGATTAATTTTTTGTTTTTATAAGTGTTTCATAAAGAATGTAGCAGGTTTTCAAACATAGAAAAACTAAAAGCATAATAATTTTTTTGAAGTTTTTTGTGGACAAAGATACCTGCAGTCAAATGTAGCATAACGGCATTTTATATATGTATCCGTTATTCTCCATTTTCAAGATTCATGTGATCATTTTGTTACTTGCCCTTGATGATTCAATCTGATCAATCTTCTCTCGTGTAGATGACGGTGAATATGCATACACTGAATGTTGTTTTGCTTCTTGGAGACACAGCTTTGAATTGCCTGGTGAATATTTTCAAAGCCTTTTCTCTCCTTGATTGGTATAATTGCTTAAGGCTGATGCTAAGTGTAACCTCCACCTTTCAGCAACTGCCCTGGTTTCGGATCTCTTTCTTTGTGCTATGGACTGGTGCTTTCGTCATTTTTCAGTGGATTCTTCATGCTTTTGTGTCAATTTGGTAACCTTCACTATCCTTCTTCGTGTCAGAGCCTCGAACACATTTAGGTATTTAAGGACAATATTGACAATCTTCTTGTTGCAGGTGGCCATATCCATTTCTTGATTTGTCATTACCCTACGCTCCATTGTGGTATGGGATCTCACTCGTTTCTTGAACATTTGCATATTGTCAATTCAAACGATATAACGTTACTAGTGCAAAGCAAGGTTATAGTACCTCTAGATATTGGCATATTTATTACCCAGTTGACAACCAGAGTTCCCCTTTTGCATGATGGCTGTACAGATTCAATATCTTAATATCTATCTCACTGGTACTTTTGGGCAAAAGGGTACTGCCTTATCATTAAGGTTTATTGTCAATGGCCATGTAAATTATTTTTTTTTTTGGGGGAAAAAAAAAGTTGAAAGTGAAAACTTTGATTAGAACCAGTGATGAATTAACCTAAACAAAGGAACATTATCCAACAGAATTTCCAGTTTCTCTACTTCCCTTTTGTATTATAATCTTTACAATGCCTAATCCTATTGGTTTCTGGTGAATGGCAGGTACTTTGTGATGGCATTGATGCATATTCCATGTTATGGCATGTTTGTACTCATTGTTGATTTGAAACATTATTTTCTGTCAAAACGGTTCCCTTCCTCTCATCAATGCTAAGGATTGAGATTTTGAGTGTTTCTATGTTGAGCGCCTATAAAAGCACCTGCGGTTTGAGCTGTAGCAAAACTGAATTCAGCTTTCGTCACTGCGGAGTGCATGGCTGGGCTCTTTTACATACTCTTATACAACAAAGGATCATATAATCAAACAAATTGCCGCAATTGAGTCAATGTAATAATTGAAGCTTCCAGGAACTGAATTCAAAGGTTCTAGCAGAGCAACTAAGCAGACATTGAAGTTGAACATAATCTGGGGGAACAAATTGGATGATCCGCTTATTTTTTCTACTACTCTTTCTTTATCGTCTCATTATAGTTGTCATTAGACTGATAATAGGATGAACATGGGTACTTGTGAGAATTTGAAATATGTACGATGTTAAGAAAAAAAAATATTTATTGCTATAATTTTTTTTTTTTGGGCAGCTGGGAAGCTAACCTAGCCGAGCATAGAAGTTGGTTTTTTCCTTAGAAAATACTGACTATTTCATTTATATTTGACACTTCCCATTTTTCATAAATGACTGTTTCAGTTAAATCAGGAGAGGGAGCAAGAGTTTCAAGCTAAAGGATTCAATTGAAACCTCTTTCCCACCGAGCACATCTTTTTTTACCCACAAAGTAGGTAAATAGTTTCAAAATCAGCGTTCGAAGGATCAACCTGAAATGCAATAATCAGAATTTGAATTACGAGACTTCGCATCTATTGCCAAGGATGACTCGGGGACTTGATATCCTTTGGTTTTTACTTCTTTCAGCAATCGTCTCACTGACACTCATCAGAATTTAAGTATAAATACGATATTGCAGCGACTACAATAATAAAGTAAAGTCTAGAGTTTCAAGAGTTATATGAAACCCAAAGTACCAGAGTTTCAAGAGTTATATAAAACCCAAAGTACCACACAGCTGTTATATGTAACCCAAAGCACCAGACAGTGGAGCCTGTTCTTTATTATACAAGTTAACTGATCAGCTACATAATAGCTATGTTGCTCCTTTCAAGTAGAAGAAGCAGCAGCAAGAGCCCCAGCCGAAGTTAGCAACGATACCAACTTCCCTTGATTGTGCAATGCAGTTGTGGCTTCATAAAAGTAGCAAATTAACATTAACGATTATATGAAATCAATTTAATATCATTAAACTTGTGTTTGCTTGAGCTAGGATCTTGTTAAATTAATGTCAGAGGAAGTTTGAAGAGAAAAGGATAGGGATGTGAGTCTTCACATGTGCCTTTCTTTATTCCTCTTTCTTTAAACTTCCTTTAAAATGTCTTAGAGGATCTGTTACAGAGTTTATTATCTATAAAGGAAGAAAAGAAAATTTTAATCTTACAATCACAGCCACCGATGTGGTTTCCTCCAATAAACACATTTGGCACTGTTCGTTGACCTGTCCACTCAGCTAATGCAGATTGAATCTCACTTCCATCACCTGCACCACGGCCAACCATTCTTATGAGCCGATTACCAGAACTGAACGGATAAAAAGGACAGCGCTTTTGAAGACTTGTAACAGCTATAGTTGAAAGCACAATAAATCCTCGTCATATTTATGGTGAAAAGCAACGCTGAAAGTCACCTTCACAAGGCAAACTAGAATGCTTCTAACAAAAAGCAGGATTAAGACAGTTTACCCAATCATTCAGGGTCTAAAGTTGCTAGGGGTTCAAACGTGCAGAAATTATCCAGGTGCAACTAGCAATGTTGCTGTAACATGAGGAATCAAATATTTTATCTTAAGGGTTTGCACCTCTCAATGAATCCCCTCGATGACTCTTTTTGTCAAACAGGTATGCATTGCATAAAAACCATGATTACATGTTCTGTGGTTCTTCAACACCAACCTGATTTTTCATGAGGTAATTTCTTCAATGGAGAACTGCTAAACAGATTTTGGAAGAAGTGTGCACACAGCCCTATTTTGTGGGCCTTGCCAAATGAACATCACAGATGCTAGATGAATTGAAGGAATGCATTCAACAGCGCTAGAAAGACAATAAATCCTTGAAAATATCGTGTATATTGGAACAGTTTGTGAGATTCAATGTCTTACACTGGAGACAATTACATAAGCTAATAAACAAGAAGCCTTCTTTCAATGCTCAAGATAATTGATTTGAATGACTTGAACCTCGACATGGGGCTTAATAGATAAAGATTCATGAATTATTTGAACAGGACTTCCGAAAGGATTAGTGGTCATCCTATAAATAGGTATGACTATTCACGTGAAAATATGTCAACTTTTCAAGGCATCTTTCAAAGTCTAAGTCCCAGTTTCTTCGTTAGGTTGACAAACCATTATTGGTCATCCTACTGATCACTCCTTAAAAGAAAATGATTAGTCGAGCCTCAAAGCCTATTCTCTACTTATCATACTCCATATTATCCTAACGCTAAATCAAATGAAACATACCGATCGAAAATAGGACTCATGTTAGAAAAGCAATAGATGACGTAATGAAAGAAAACAGGAATCATGCTAAAAGGGGAAATAAATAGATGGCCAAGCAAATAAATTAATAGCGCTTACTTTCAGAATCGAGCTCAATGACCTTGTAATTGGCTCCCAGTTTAGTCAAAAGCTTCTTCACATCAACGCAGAATGGACAATACGATTTACTGCAACAAACAATGAACCCGGAAATCGATTAAGAATCAGCATACCCACGCGCGCTCGAGCGCATAGAATCTCGCGTATTGGAGAAGGCGACAAGAGAGAAACCTAAAAACGACGACGGGATTCGATGAAACGATCTCCTTGGCTTTGGGCAGTGCCGCCATGTTTGCGCCTCTTGTCTCGATCGGAACCCTTGCTTCTTTCTTTTGGCCGGACGACTGGACCCTTTCGGCGATTAGTAATTAAACTCAGTAACACTGCTCCCGCCGCCAAGGCTATTAATCGCAGCTTGTTTACGTATATTTATTTATTTATTTATTGCTCATATTTAATTTAACAGTCTTTTTTTCTTAAATCTTCGCATATGCTAGCTCGGCTTAATTTTTATTTTTATTTTAAATATAATATTCTAATTTATTTTGTAATAATTATAATAATGATAGTTTTAATCAGTAAAAATATTTTAAGTTCAATAGATGCTTTTGATTTTACTTCTTATAATGTAGATCAGTAGTTTTTATTTTCCCTCTTTATAAACAAAGATATTTTATGAAAAATAATACTTATTTATTGTAAATAAGTAACTTAACTGATTTTTTTAATTTACTCAAATTAATTAATTAAGTATTATCAAAATCAATGCCATAATGAATCACAATTTTGATACTTTAAAAATATCAATACCAATAATCGTATCATCAGGAAAAACGTCGTCATCCATCAACAACATCACTAATTATTGCTACTAAATAAACAATAAAATTAAGTAATTATTATATTATTGATTTATAAAAAAAGTACATCAACTAAAATATTAATATGAATTTTAATTAGCAAATCAGGCTTATTCACTTGTCACAAAAAAGAACAAGAACATATTTACTTAATGCGTAGAAAAAATGTGCAGTTGAAAATGACTCCAACCTATGCAGCCATATTTTTAAGTTTCAACTTGCACGTGAAAAGTGATTGAACAAAAAAAAAAAAAACTTATATGCCAAAAACGACACTTCTGTCAGTTTCTAGCCCCCCCACCCCACGCCACCCCTGCAGTTTTCGTAACCTTCCAATTTTTTTGACTAAATTTAAATTTAAGATCTTTTATGAAATTTAAATTTACACAAAGTGCCTAAACATTTGGCGAGTTATAATTTTTTTGAATGATTAATTAATCTCAAACTCATATTTTATAGATCAAATAATATTATCTTTATACCACTATTGGGGAATTCCCCACGCCCCCGGGGGGCCTGAACCCACGAGGGATTTCAGATAGACAGATACCGAATGCATCCCAGTTCCCATGTCCTAACCGACCCCATAACGGCCAACGTCAAAAATCTCATAACCTATGCCAGCCGGATGACAGTGAATCATATCACTCGTAATCGTCACTGCTCGCCTGACAGATTACGTCAAATCTGTCGTGTTGGCGTGTTGCTCATCTCCCATGTGTTTAGATTTAGATTTCTTTTTTCCCCCAAAAAGGAAATTGGGGAACGAATCTTTAGATTTGGATTTCTAATAATTCTTTTTTTTTTTTTTATACATTCTAACAATTCATTTCATCCATGGACCGCCAGGAATTATTGTAGAAATAAGCACATTGGGCTTTTCTGCCAACAATAAGCACACTGGGCTTCATGGGCTGAAAAAGGCCCATTTTTCTGTCAATTTTTTTTGAGTGAAAGCAATTAAACATGGGCTGGCCCAATTAGTGCCTCGTCATTGACATTTTATCCATCTCAATATTTGGCATGAAATGAAGAGTTGCCAGCTAAAAATGAATTTTTTTTTAAAAAAACTCAGATATTATATGTTCCCCCGGGAAAGTTGTAAAGATAGATGAATTAAAAACAACTTGTTGTACATGCATGTAGCAGTTTAAGAAATTTATTGTCCAATTTTGGAGCCATGCTATTTTGCTATATTTATCATGGCGTTATTTTTAATTAGTTTTGAATTTTGACTTGTGTATGTTTTTCTAGGTCATAAAAAGATTACAAACATTATTTTGAAATTTATTTTATTTATCCAAAAACCAACTAAAAAGATTCGGTTTCAAATATAATCTTAAAAAATTAATGATTAAAATTATAAAATACTATCTTAGTGACTTTTATTTTGATTATAGATATAAGATCCTAATATATTTTGTATATCATATTTATCTATTTTTTTAAGACAATTCTTATAATAATGATAGTTCTAACCAATACATTTGATTGGTAATGATATTTTAAAAAAGACAATATCTATTTATTATAAATAACTAATTAAATTAATTTTTTATTTTTCTAAAATTAGTCAAGTAATTTTTATATTAAAAATAAATTAAAAAATGAAATTTGAGGACAACTACTAATCAATAAATAAATGAGACAAAAGGAAACCAAACTCGGGGGCCAATGGAGCTTCTTCACACTTCCAACAGTCATAAGCGGCCCAGCCCGGTGCCAACGAAGCGGCAGAGGTGTTTAATTCCCACGGCGTGGCCCTAAAACCCTAAACCCTTCGAGAACCCAGGGACTAAGCTTCACCGCAAAACCAAAGACCCCCCCCCCCCCCTTTCTTTTTCCTTCCTCCTGTTTTTCCCTTCTCTCATTTCCTTCCGCTTTCTTCTGATGATCTGATAACCATGGCGTACGTGAGAAGCAGGGCCAACCCACTCCTCACCACCCTTCCTCACTTCCTTACATGGCGAAACTTTGGGTTCCGCACTGTTTGCTGTGGACGCCTGGGTTTTTCTACTCAATCCCAGCTCGATTCTGACCCCCCCGTCGCTGGAACTAAGGTCCTGGATGTCTTCAAAGAAGAGTTTGAAATAGGGTCGCGGTTGATAACGCTTGAAACAGGCAAGATTGCTCGATTCGCGAATGGTGCTGCTGTTCTGGGTATGGGCGAAACCAAGGTCTTGTCAACTGTTACCTCTGCTAAAGGAGATAGCAGCGGTCGTGATTTCTTACCCCTCACTGTACGTTGATGCGCTTTTTTACGAGTCTGATGTTCTAGCTTCCAACTCCCATTAGTAATAATTCTCCACATTTATAGAACCGGCGCACTGTTTTGATTTAGATATGGAAAGAAAAAGGCTCTCATAAATATGCTTTCTTTAATTTGACTGGATAAATTGATTTTAAAGGTACAACCGGAAGTCAGGAACATTCCAACTCTAACATATTTGTTTGATAAAAAAATATGAAAACTGTATAGTCTCGTAGATCACTATCTCGAATGAATGGCACTTGCAGCAAGGTATATCATCTAAGCCTCTATACTCAAACACGGAGTCCTTATATTTTTTTCTACACATCATTGCGTTGCATTTTTGAATCAATAGGAATTCAGAGCCTTTCTTGGCATCCTTTCTACTTATATGTATTGTAAATCGCTTGCTCCGTTGTCCTCATCTTATTTCAGTCCATGTTGAGAGACACGACATTGATCATTGTCTTGATGCTTATAACTTTTCACTTCTTATTAGGTTGATTATCAAGAAAAGCAGTTCGCTCAAGGCTTAATTCCAAGTACGTACATGCGGAGGGAAGGCGCCCCAAAGGAACGGGAACTTCTGTGTGGTCGCATTATTGACAGACCAATTCGACCATTATTTCCTGCTGGATTTTATCACGAGGTTCAGGTATTTTTCTGTGGATTAATTAATTAATTATTGTTCATTCGCATTTCATCCATTTACTCATTTGCTAAGTAGTCCCTTCCACTAAAGTAATCTCTTTTTCCCTAGGTAATGGCAAGTGTTCTTTCTTCTGATGGAAATCAAGATCCAGATGTACTGGCAGCTAATGCTACATCTGCTGCTCTTATGTTATCAGATATTCCTTGGGGCGGCCCCATAGGAGTGGTTCGTATTGGGAGGATAGGCGGTCAGTTTGTTGTAAATCCAACCGTGGATGAGGTAGTTTTTAACTTCTATTGTGTCTTTGGTTAATTACTGATTTTAATAGTTGGTGAGACGCCCCTTGTTTTATTGCCGTTGTCAACATCTATGCAGCATTATGCTGATTTGTACTGTTGTCATAACTGCAATCAGTTTTAGTGGCCAATGGACCTGGGTCTTTAGGCCAGCATAATCACTCACATAACCTCGTAAGGAAAACTAAATATATAGAAAACTAGAACAAGCAGGAAAAACCCATCAGGTCAGTAAAGCTTTGCCAATTTCAACGCATGCCCAACCAAAAAAAAAAAAAAAGGCCCCTCAAAAACAGCCATTAGCTGTGCATTACAAAGAAGTCAATGGTACTGCTTTATTTCCCTGAAGAAGCATCTGCCAAGACTTCTGCTTGAAACTTATGGCTTTCCTCCTCCACCATGTATCCTCTAAAGAATACACTGGTGAAGCGCATTGTCCTTTCACTGGGAAAGAAGAGCTTTCACCCTTGATAATCCTCCTAAAACAAATTTGCATATCTTATATTGATCAAATTCTCTGGAAGAAGAGATCTGTAACAAACTGGATGCAAGAAGAGAAACACATTGTAGAAACACTGTGAAAGATAACTTTGTCTCATCTGCAAGCCCTTTTCAATTTCATTGAGAACATCAGGAAAGACTACAATTTGTGGTATTGTAAATAGGTATACTTGATTGATTGTTTCCAATACCTTTGCCATTCTCTGATTGGTTCTCTTTGCGGCACTGCAGCTAAATTTAAGTGATCTAAATTTGGTGTATGCCTGTACAAGGGACAAAACTTTGATGATTGATGTGCAAGCTCGTGAGATATCTGAAAAAGATCTAGAAGCTGGATTAAGGCTGGCTCATCCTGAGGTGACTCCAAAACTTGTTATTTGCGTGTCTCCTTTTGTGATCAAAAGTTATTGAGATCTGTTTCCCTAATTTTTTCAGGCGGTTAAGTATATCGATCCTCAAATCAGACTTGCTGCTAAAGCTGGTAAATCTAAGAAGGAATACAGATTGTCTATGCTTTCAGAGAGTACACTGGAGAAAGTCAGTAACTTGGCTGCAGCACCTATTGAAGCTGTTTTCACTGATCCTAATTACGGAAAGGTGTTCTCGCATCCCCCCCTTTTCTTTTCTTGCTGTGCTTTTCATGCGTTGGAAGTTATATTCATTATTCTATTGCTATATTTATGATTTGTTTTTTATTTACATCCAGTTTGAACGTGGAGAGGCACTAGATAGGATCACACAAGATGTAAGACGAGCCCTTGAAGAAGAATGTGACGAAGAAAGCTTAAAAGTTTTGTCAAAGGCTGTAGACACAGTGAGGAAGAAGGTATAAACACCTTAGAACA